GGTCAAGTTATAGATGAATTTTGTCTTGCCTGTGGATAAATATTCCCCAGTAAATCCCAGTTTACTTTAACTGCTTTGCATTTTGAAGACTCTGGAATATGATACTGTAGTTTTTACTTCTGAATTTTGTGGATCAGAGGTTGGAAGTGTTACAAGGACTCTGAACAAAATTAATTGAAGTAGACAACTACTTAAAATTACACTCTATAAAAAAAGAGTGCACAGAGTGCATATTTAGAGAGACTAGCTGAAAGATTGTCTGTTGATTCAAGCAGGGGCAATGTAATGCTCAGCTGTCATTTCCTATAGCATAAGAGAAAGAAAGCAAAAGAGAAACAAACCCGAGGTTTTAACTGACCTCTAGGAATTAGGACTTTGATTTTTCCTGTCTTCAACTCACCACCTCTTGCCATCCACTGTTTTGGTTTATTGGTTCAGTATTGACTCATGAGAAGTTTGATATCTTCTGAATTTCCAACATCAGCAGGTTTTCACTTGAGGACTCCCATCCAATTACTGACACAGGATAAATACACATATGCAGCATGACCTGTTCACAGCTTCCTCCAGTATGGATCTAGGTTAATTGCAATTTTCCCTTCCTGTGACTTATTCACACTAATGTCATGTTCCTAAGTATTAGTTTTGAAGATCTCCAAATTTCATTAGAAATACAATTATTCTTGAGGAAAAGAAATCTTATTGAATTAAATAAACATTATAACTCTATTTAGAATGATTAGTGGCCTTTTAGCAGGCCACAGAAAAATAGAGAGAAGCCTCATTAATTTACAGCTAAAAGCATCACTTCTTTCTGAGATAACACTGTGGAGCAAGTGTTTGATCCTGCAATTAATTACTTTTGTTCTGAGAGACTCAAAAATGAGCACATATCTGCACTACTCATTTTAATGATTGTGTTCTGTAGAGCATGAGAATTTTCCATTAAAGTGATTGCATTGCAGTAGGGAGGTTTAGCTTGGCCTTTGCTTAGTTCTATACATCTTAAAAAGAAACATTTGCATTTTAATTCTTATGTTGTGCATGTGTATGTTTTTGGGGCAATAGGTGCATAATTACAGCAAGGTGTGGTGACCCTTCTTACACAGCTCTGTGTCATATAGGTAACATCCAGGTGAGGAATTCCAGCACTCCATTCTCATGCAAACTGACATGAAATGCTGTCCAGAACAAAAGGCTGAGCTCTGTTGACTCTACAAACCTCAGATTAATACAGTTTTATCAAGATGATGTGGTTGTCCTTTCTAGTGTGATGATTTCCTAAATATATCCTAAAATGCTGATGTTCTGATGCTGCAAGCTCCAGTAGAGCAGTCTTTTTAGTGAAGAATCATCTTTAACATATTTACCTTATCTTTTGGCAGGGCTTTCACGCAGCCCCATCTTAACATCAGCATGCAGCTTCCAAAGTGAGCTCACTGAATTGCAGTCAGTTCAGAGTGTGGGCAGAAGGGGACCTTAATCTGGTCCTCTGTGCTCTCCTCAGTGTCTGCAGTGTGCCCCGCTTTGCTGTTGGTGCAGAGCGGAGAAGCAGATTGAGTTAAGCTGCCTGAATATGGCCAAATTGTCACAAAGGGAGTTAGGCATCGGTTACTAGCACGCTGTAAAACACCCAGACTTCCTCTGTAAACAAGGCCAACACTAGTAAAATACAGCAGTGACTGTTACTTTTACTAATAAATTGGGACATTCATTTAATGGCCCAATGATGCACTGTTAACATAGCTAGATATTTTAAGCTGATCCAATCCTAAAGAAATGAGGGAAATAATGAAATAATATTCTTGGCCTTGCAAAGCATAGCTTTACACACACATCTTCTCTCATACCTCAAAGTGAATATCCTCCCTGTCCCTTGTGCATAGTTTTCAATTACCTTTCTTTTGTTTGATTAATGAGACAAGGTAACACTGCAATTAAGACAAATTAACATTCTAATAGCTGAGAAGAAAGATAAATCAATCAAAGATTTCTTAGTAGTGCATTTTCTCTGCCTTTGGGAAGAGCTCTAAGTCTTAAAGCTATAAGGTTTATGAAAGTCCCAACAATAGAGCAGACAAAATTTAATATCACACATACAAGGAAAAAGGATGAACATAAATTTCCCACACTATTCCCATGGTGTTTAGACCCTTCAAATATTTGTAGACGTTTACCATCTTTTCCCTTAGTCATCATTTGGCTAAGTTTATACATACTTAGGCCTTTTAATCTTTCCTCATAAATCACACTGTGCAACCCATTATTACTTTTGTTACTTTTATCTGAAGTTTTGCCAGTGTGATGACATCTTTCTGGGATCAAGGTCTCCTCCAAAATTTGCAGACAGAACTGTAATCATTGCTGCTTCTAGGGTCAGTCCCAAAGCTAGAGTTCATGATGTCTAAGAAGTGATGGTAAGAATTTCTGAGATGCTTGAAAAACAGTGGGAATTATGCTGCATTGGGCACATACTGGTGTCCTCAGGGAGGGTTCAGATCAAAGGGGATGTGTTCTCTTCTACTAGAATTAATTTTGCATGTGATGCATTGATGGAGTAAGAAACTTAGCTAATACTGCAGTCTGGTTGTTAGTCTTTGAGATGAAGGGCAGTATGTGGAGGAAAAATTAGAGCAAAGAAACTCTCTAGTGGAAAGGGAGGTGGAAATAAGTGAGCTTGTGTTTTCCCATCTCAGTCTCTGCTACTGCATGTCTGGACTGGAAACTCTCAACTGCTTTTGAACCAGGAAGCACCAACTGAGAACTGCTGTGAGGGAAAAAAAAAAACAGTGCTGGTGTAAAATAAAACTTCAGTATAATTAGAAAATGAGTGCATGTGAGGAATGAAGATGATGTCATCTGGATAGTATTAGAGGAGCAGAGCAAACATCTAAGTCCCGCTGCCTTGGATGGATGGATGCAGACTGAGAGCTCACTAAGCCTGAGGGCAAAGCAAAATGATAAATGGTAAAGTACAGCCTTGGAGAGGAAAGAGGGAATTTCAGAGCTTGAACTGACATAGGTGGCAGGCTTTGTCCGGAGGTTAAGCGTAATGAGTGCTTTGACACCCTTGCAGAAAAGGCCTGAGGCCTGATGTAGGGAGGCTGATTCTCCCTCCATTGACCTTCAGTATTGAAACAGATCTGATGAGACCACAGCAATTTCTGGGAAGAAGTGTTATAATTTACCTTAAAGAAAAAAACACCTATGAAAACCTTGCTTTAAAATTTTTACATTTCCTATAGTTTTGGGTGGTTGGCAAGGGAGGGGGTTTCCTGCAGGGTGTAAGATTCTTATTTTCTCTTTGAGAATGAACCGCAGTTTGTCACTGCTCTCTCCAGACTAAGGGGACATCTCAAATTTTATTCACAATCTAGAAAGCAAAATCAAGCAAAATATAACACACTTTGCTTATCCAGACTTCTTTTTCAATCCCAGAATTTATAGACATGTTCCTTGGTGTGAGAATTTGCTGAAGCTAAGCTTGATCACATTTGTCCACAGGATTACCAGGAAAATAAGGAGAAAAAAAACAGCAATGCAAGGACAAGTTACTTTTTCTTTCCAAAGCCAGCAGAATTAAATTCTGTCAGTGAGATTGTTTCTAAAATACATTGTCAGATGTTGCTCATTTCCATGTGAAACAGGATCTCCTTTGCCAAGTATGCATGGCGTGTTTGTTCCGTGCTATGCATAGTGCTTATGGTGGGTTGCTGTCATTGGTCAAATGAAAAATGAAGGCTCAGTTTGAAACTCTTAGTCACTGTTGTTCTGAATATGTGGAATCTCAAGGGAGGAAAACCGAGACTGTCCTTTTTTAAGAAACCACAAGGGCCCATGATGACCATTTAAGGTAATTAAATGTAGTAATTTCTTAGAAACCATTTCATTAATTTTCCTTGAGTAACTTACACCACAAAGATAAATGCATTATTAATAAATAGAAAGTAAAATTTTGCTTTAAAATTTGTCCAAAAAGTAGCGTTTAAGATATGCCAGTGGGGCATGGAACTCAAGAGTGAGTGATGTGGAATAAATAGCATTTTTGAGCCTTCTCCAAGTGATCAGGACACTGAACTCAGGCTTCTCACCTCCTGGGAAGTCCTGCAACCAGGAGGCAGTAAGATGAAAGTAGAAGGCCAATGTCTTTCCTGTGAAATAACACAGTTGTCTAATGTATGATGAGCTTGATTCTGCTGCGTGAGTCATGTCCAAATGTTTCCTCTGGTTAGCAGCTTTGGGGAACCTCATTTCTGGTGGAAAATGGTGCTTAAGCAGGTAGTGAGGGGCTCAGGATGGAGCTGCTGGGGTGTGCCTGGAAGGAGAGCTGTGCCTTGGGAACTTAAAGTCAAAATGTTGGTTGGGGAGGAGAGGGCTAGATTGCGGGGACAGCTCCATTTTCCTCTCTCTTTTTCTTAATATTAAATAATGAAAACATCAAATAGAAGTGTAGGTCTTGGCATTTAAAAAAAACCTTTATCCAACTTGGACTTCTGATATGAGTCTATCCTCATGGATAAACACAGTTGGGGTTTAAAAATGTAGCAGTGTGTTCTCTCCTTTGTTACAAGGCTGCTATTAGTGGACCAGTGTGGTGTCCACCACTCTCATTAAAGAACAAGGCAAAGCAAATTCAACTCTGAAATTACATTGTTATCAATCCTTTTAAAGTCCTGGAATAGCTTAAATTTGTCTTGCCACGCTCTATCATCAAGCACCATGTATAAACATATCTTCTTCCGGAAGACCACAGCTTCTGCTCAGCTGGAACTGTGTTGAAAAGATTTTATTATTTTTTTTTCAAAAGTCACTACTGCCATCAATCATTTCATTTCTCAGCTACTCTGAGCTGATTTGGTTTTGATGCAGTCTTTTCCAGAACTAATTTAAATGCAAATTCTAATACATTATTTTGTGCCGTGTTTTAAAGGTTAGGAAGGGCAGAAATGTTTGTGTGCACAGAAGAGCTTAATGATACCTTTTGTATTTTCATTTTCAAGAGGCACTTGTCCCCTGAAGAGTTCCAGGAAGTCTTCAAAATGAGCATTGAGGAATTTGATCGTCTGGCACTTTGGAAGCGGAATGACCTGAAGAAAAAGGCCCTGCTTTTCTAGCCCCTCCCAGATAAAATATGTGCTTAATCAAAACAAAAATAGTCTCGCCAGAACTATCACATGCACTTGCTGTTGAACCATTGTCCAGCTTCATTGTGTTAGTATGTGTTGCGGGAAACAGGGCAGATTAGATGGCAACGTGTTGGTATACAGAGAATTTGCTAATCTTGCCTGACCAGATGGTTTTGTCAGTAACTCCTGGTCCTAACCAGTTTACAACATGCAAAAAATCTAGCTTTAAATGTATTGTTGCTTGCAGTTACTGCTTGATGCGAATGGAAGGAAGAGAAAAAGTGTAGCTGTGACAAAGGAAATGCATCCAACATTTTCTTCCATTAAGTTTGACAACACAATTTTTACTAAATTAAGTCAATAATGAATATAGAACTCTCCAGTGGAGGATCACATGCTATTAAAAATATGGTAAAAACCAAAGAAAAGCATGTCCACAAGCAGTTATTGCAGTTGTTTATGTGTGGTACTTTTTAAGAATTAAAGCAAAATAAATAAATAAATAAATGGAAGCACCTTAATTCTACTTCTTATACTTAAGACACAGTCTACTCTCTAAAAGATCCTATTTGTCTAGAAGATAATTAGCTATCTTTAATTACAAGAGTAGAGTTTTTATTTTATTAAGAATATATTGTGACATAAAGCAGTTATAATGATGAAAATGCCTACAGACCTACTTAAAATTGTAGTCCCATTCATCAGGAAAACTGAAGCCTTATAGAAAACTGGTTTAAGAGTGTTTGTGCCAGTTAACTGTGTTTTCCTACTGGTTTGGGGTGTTTGGAGAACTTATTTTTTTTACATTTCATGCTGATAAAAATGCACCATGTAATCTTAATTATGTGTAGATAGATATATCTATCTATAAAGTAATCATTTTCATGAGTATATGTTCTAAGTAAACACATTCTTCCTCCACTTTTTGGCTTTACACCGTAGCCATGAGAACGGTGATGGCAACTGGTAGGTGTGGAAAAGGAACAGTTCAGCATGAAATGTAACAAAAAAAGCTTGGTGTGCTCTATCAATAATACATCCAATTATAATCAAATACATAAAGCCCTCATGCATTAATATTTGCATGTTTCTATACAAATAAAATTTTAAAAAACAACCTATGTGATACTGGTGCAGTACCTTGAATCTATCTTAAATAAGAAGCAAAGCTAACAAAATCTGTTTGATATGAGCGTTAGACCTTAATATCTCTTCCAGCTGACAGACTGTATTAAATTTAATAATTTCATATGGTCAGAAGAATGGTTGCTGACAAAGAATGTTTTAAAGTGAGTTGCTAGTTTTGTGTGATACTAAAAGAGCATTACAACAAGTACATTTTTCAGCCATGTGTCAGTATTCTGCATTTTTACTGCCTTGAATGTTTGTAACTCACTTCCTACTTCACTATGTCTTTTTGCATTTCCTTAGAGTAACTGGTTAATATATGCACTAAAACACACTGTTTCAACTGATCCAGTATTGGAAAAACCTTAGCATTGAACATGCCTTCTTCCAACTAACTTTCGAAATCCATGCTGTTGGAAATAAATATTTTCTCATGACCTAAATGTTTTGTCTGATTATACAAATGTTTAAAAAATTCATTAAAACAAACACATAACTAAATGGCTTTGTTAATGTGTGTATAACTTTTAGATTGCACTGCTGCTCTGGGTAGGGTCTTCCCATGGTATTATTGTAAATAATATGTGATTTGCCTTGTTTTTGCTCAGTGAGGAGAGCATGAGGGGTACCTCTGAATGTCAGGTTACTGTACAGTTGGTTATGATTTTAAAAATCCATCTAGCAAGTGGCACATCTTATCAAGCAAAAGGTGCTTCACTGGTGATGTTCAGTGAACAGAACCATTACCCAGCATTAATTGAGAGCTCCTGATCACCTGTAAACTGCATCCATAATGCTCTTCAATCTCAAAATAGTTTGTTATATTTTGCTTACTTGTGAAAACTGGCAGTGTACTCTAAGGGGCCAATTTAAAACATGATCAGTAAGGTCCATTAGTACTATGAACATCTAAATCCAGGAGAACAATTAGTTGGAGAATTATGACAAGTAATTTTGACATTGGTGAAGAGAAGAGCAAATATACTGGTGCAGATCAGGTTGAGTATGGATCTTCATAAATAATTTGAAAATTTCTTAACCACGACAGCTATTGTATGGGTGTAGGATTCAACCTATGCTACAAGGAAAATATTCATTACTAAGTAACTTGTGATCAACAGCTTCATGCTGCTGTTGTGCAGAAGTATTGTGGATGACAGGTGAGAGCATGAGAGCTCTGCTTGAACCATTTATGCTCTTTGGTGCCAGTTAGTTTGTTATAACATCAACAGCCTTAAGAGTATCTGCTGAAGATCCTTGTCCTAGCTGAACAATTCTTGTTTTACATATACCCATGGCAGGTCCTAGACCACGTTACTGAATCACTTTCAAGCCATTAGGATGGTACTTTGAGTTCCACAGAGCTCACAAAATGCCTCAGCACAGGAATTATTTGTGTTCATTATATTATGCACCAAACAGGCATGTATTTGATGCCAAACACACAAAAATGTTTTAGAAGACAGTCAGTTTATCAACTTACATTCCTACTACCAGCCAAAACCAAAAAGGAATTTTGGCTTCCATGCACAAAACCCTTGCTGACATTAGATGAACAAGTACTCTTGTGTGCCCTTCTTACTTGATTTTTCCTGAAGGTTTGAAATGGTCTGTAGATGTCTGTTCTGTGGAAAGGTGGCGTAACTCAGTAAGCTGCTCTGGTTTTCAGATGATACATGTCAATGTATCACTCTGTATTTAAAGCATCTACTGTCAGATGGTGTAGGGACCTTCTTAGTTATGCTTTCTAACCTAGCTAAATTCTCATTTACAGTATGATATTGTATGCTGGATTTGGCACTGACCAAATACACCAGTGTAAAATGGCCATAAAGTGAGTAGTGTGGTAATTCATTTCACTGCTTAGTTTTCTGTACATCACGTAAACTCTGTAAACCAGAACATACCAGAACATGTCATGTCCTCTGGCATACCAGAGGATATGACATTTCTGTTTCTGAAATTTATTATGGTTTGCTCATTTAAACACTGAAAATTGAAATTTTACACGTGTAGTCTTCTTTCAGGAACTTTAGGAGTGTCTTATTAAATGTGAATAGAGTAACATGTGCATAATCAATGTTCTGGTTTATTTCTAGAGTTCCATATGCTAATCTTTAATGGCATTATGAGATGGAAAATGCATTTCAGAGTAATTAGATACATCTTTGCCAAAATATTCCATCAGATAGTGTGGTCCAGCATTGGCAGTAACTGAGAGGCTTGACAAATCATCAGCTGTTTTTCAGATAATGCTCCATCGGGTTACTAGCATACAGTTCCATAGTCTTGTTTTCAAGGAAATGCTGCCTTTTCACCATTTTGGGAAGTATGGCTATGGCTGTTCAGGATCACTGTAGCTCTTGAAGGAACCTATTTTAACATCGATACAAGAAGAATGAGAATTCTGACAGATTTCATTTTCCTGCTTGGGTCTGAAGTGTATGTCTCAGCTGTTCATGACAACCCTGATGTATGACCTAATTCTCAGCTCATGTATTTTAAAGAAGGCATGTCTCAAGCACAGCAATGAAAGAGCCAACTTATTTCATCATCATAGTCTTTGAGACAAAGGAACACATGGATTTTTGTGGCTGCTGAGGAATATCTGACCAACAATTCCAGATAGGAAGCCAGGCATGCCAGATAACGATTATAACTGTCTGAGAAGGCTGGACATTTTTGTCTGACCTTCTGCTATTTCTTTTCCTTGTGGTTCAGGGAAGAACAAAAAAGATACAGTTTAGAGCAGGAGAGATGCCTTTTCTTACATTCCTCATTTTGATGAGGAACCATCTATTTAACATTTCCCAAGTGTGACTATGCCAGACCATGAATTTTGTTATGAATTCACAGAGGTGAGATCCCAGGCACTGCCATCAGTGTGGCACATGGGCTCTAGGGTGGCCTTACGTTCTCTTGTCCCTTTGACTCATATGTGAGGAAAGGCTTAAGCTTCTTAAGTTCTAGACCCTTTACAAATGTGTTTAGTTGATAGCTAACAGGCATAGCTACCGTTTTTCAGATATCTTGAACATCTGAAAAGAAAAAGACAAATGTTTTAATATCACAATGGCAGGCTGCAACCCTCTTGTACCTGTAAAATTATACAGGAGACTTGCATTTCCTCATATGCAGGACGCTCTGAGGTATGGCCAAATCCTCACAGGCTCATGGGAGGCTTAGGCTTTTGGAGCGTTTGTATCCCTTCTCACTTTTTCCATTCTCTGAAAAGCCATGTTAGAAAAGGTGATACTCAGTAAAAATGCATGCCTTAGAGCCACCTCAATTGTTTACTTCTCTGGTAACGAAGCACACACAGCAAGTTGAAGTTTGCTGGGTTGTTGCAGCTGGTTATTCTCACAACCACTGTATCTCTGAGTTACAGCTGAGAGAAGTAAGCTGTTTTTTGATCTTCTAAGCACTCTTACTTGTGTGATTTCACACGTTTTCTTCCTACCACTGAGTGTTTGACATCTTAACTACTATGCATGTGGGCATTTGTAAGTACAGAGGTTCTGTGTTTGGGGTTTTTTTTAAGTGGTTGAACAAATCTCTGCAGCAGTCAGGCAGTTTGAACCAGCCAGTTGTCCTCCCATGCCAGCTGCCCAACAGCAGATCTGTAAGAGACCAAAACCAGACAAAAGCAGTATGTCCCACATGCCTAAATGGATAATGATTCAAGGCTTTAGGGAAGAGATTTACTGTCTCAGCTGTGATGTGTTTTCTACTTGGTAGAAGTCTGGATATCCTTGATCTCTTTTTCTGAATCTTGTTACATTTGTATCCTGAATGATTTGCTATTGACCTTTTTCTCTGCTTGCTATAATACATTCCTGTATTGCATCCTGTAATTTCTT